AAGGTAGAGAGAGAGAGAGAGAGAGAGAGAGAGAGAGAGAGAGAGAGAGAGAGAGAGAGAGAAAATGTCATGCTTTACAACTTACACTTACGGCGTGCATAAAAAGAAACTGAAATGACGAATTAATACTCTCTACCTATCGTTAGTCTTTCTTTTCTTGCTTACACTACACTCCATTTCGTAACATCAACATCCTCCGTCATCGCGTTCAACACAAGTAGGCCTACAAAGTACATCATCTGTATGGAGATCGTTCGGTACAGGATAGGCTCAAAATATATCTCGGAGAGGAATGATTTCGGATGTGTAAAAATTTTCCGTTATTTCTTCAGAAGATGCACCCCCCCCCCCTTTTATTTTTGCTTTGAGGGGAAAAAAAATGAACAGAAGAGCTCAGCAAGCTGCTGAAAGACTTGTCTCCCACCTCCTTTGTTTAGAACGCCGTCTTTTGTTTCTTTCTTTTTCTTAATGTTGGCGTTTGTACGCTCCCGTCGATACAATTTAGATCATTTAAGAGGCGGGCTTCCGACCTTGCTGTCAGGGCTAACCCGGTCAGAGAGGGATACAGTATACAGCATCCCTTCAGAAGGATAGTCGAGATACTCGATAAATATTTCTCCCCACTTGCGCGGAACAGTATGTAACTGCTACACCACAGACGTCAGTTGTTGGGGATCTAGTCTGTTGAGATACTCGAAAATGTGCATATTTTCATGGGCAGTCTAAATACATGTTATTCAAGAAAAGACTAGATCTATATCATGTAGATCTATACATGTACTGTATACAGATTTCGGAGAGTTTATTCATAACTGTCTGAAAATTTTCACGATAATGTGAACCGCTTTCTGTTTTAAGAAAACTTGATGAAGGGTGCCTTCACTTTCATTTCAAGTGACTAAACTTTTTTTTTTGACAAGTCCGTTATACATTGTTGTCCACCCCAAATGACAAGTGAAATATTCACATTGCAAGAAAACATGACAATATCTGAAACAGAAATTGTAGATACAAAAAGTTCCTAAAATAATAATACGCACTTCAGCTTGAGTTTGAGACAAAAAATAACAGCCATCTATTTCTGGCAAGACAGACAGAAATGAAAGAGCAAAAATAGGGAAGTAGGATCTACCAGCATTCACTCACAGAAAAAAACAAAAATCAGTCATCAAAAGTACTTGCTTTTATTGCGTTGAACAAGTCTGAACTATAAATTATCATTAAATGAATGGTATTGTCTACATGACTAATACAAAATAACGAAAGCTCGAATGCACAAAATATTATTAATACATTCATGTCCTTAACAACAGCAACAAACAGTTGTTGCAGAAAAAGGTGTAACAAAGCTTATATTTCCTCATACTGTTTGCAAAATTCATTTAATTACTAAACCAAGTGTTCCGACGTTATATTCTCAAATCATGTCTAAGATTACATGAATACACGAGAACAACTAAACAAACGAACAACAAAAATTATCTACATTTTTAATGCATTTTATACAATTTAAATTTAAACAAAAGACATGTATTTAAGCCTAATAAAATGCTATACCCACAGGTCCTACTGCTGCTAACAAACAGTGACT